GCCGGGCGCGCGCACGCACGGCAGGGGCGGAGCCTGGTGACGTGGCGCGTTGCGTCACCCGGGCCGGACGCCGGCGGGGGATTCAAAAGGGGAAAGGGGCAGAAGGAAGGGGGGGAGAGCCCGGAGGAGCGAGGAGGAGAGGAGGGAGTCGGAGAGCGAGTGAAGGAGGAAGGAGCGGACAAGGGGGAGAGAGCGGAGGCGGGAGAAAGAGCGGAGGAGGAGAGGAGAGGAGAACACAGGAGGAAGGAGGCACAGGGCACTGGAGGAGCGGCACACAACACGAGGAGGAGGGGAACGGAGGAGCACAAGTGGTGAGGGGAACGTCAAAAAGGGGGCAAACAGATTCACGGCGGGGAGCAGGACGGGCTCCCGCGTTACACCATGTAATCCTCATCCCTACAGAGAGGTAACAGTTTAGAATCTCTGAAATATAAAGAGTTTGCTAGATCATTTCCTAACAAATGAAAAGACTTACAAGTCTTTTATAGATCATTTCCTAACAAGTTAACTGTGTGACGATCTCTCTGCCCTGGAGACTTCTGCCAGTATAAACTATGCAGGTCATGGGTGAGAGGAGGTGTGATTCCTGGCTAATGTAGCTGGGCCAGGCAAGTAGCTAGTGCAGTAGCAGCTATACCCACAAGGCTGTGCTTTTACAAACGAAGCTTGTTTGATTCATGGGGATGGCTTTACATTTTTATATAAAGCATAGCTTTGCAGGGATAGCTGCGTCCACATTAGGAGTACTAATTTGCTAATACAGGGTATAGTATAGCATTATTGCTAGATAATAGGAATTTTTCCCTGGTGTAGAAATGGCCTTGGAAAAGAAATCACTGTGTGCAGTTAGCAGAACATTTTTTAAAAGGTTATATTGACAAATAAGCAGGTAATCACATTAATTTATTTCAAGCCTCTAATAAAATTCCTATTCATGGGGAAAAAACTGAAACAAAAAAATGTCTACAGGTTGACCTCTGTATACTGGGACTCTGGTCCGGCAACTTCCATGCTCCAACTGGACTATGGATGTTTTTGGACCAGAGAGTCCTGGTGGAGGGCCAGCAGCAGGAGCACCAGTGGGAAATAGCAGGGCAGTGGAGAATTGGCAACGGGAGGAGGAGGAGAATTGGCAGGAAGGCTAGCAGTAGGGGGCCAGAAGTGACTTCCCCAGGTCTGGCAAAATCCCTCATTTGGGCCTGGTCAGGTCTTGAAGGTGCTGGGCCAGGGAAGTCCGACCTGTACCACAGTGCATACCAGGAAACTGTGCAGAACAATCAGCTCAATTTGCCAGCTTGACAAATTACTCTAGGAAGAGAAATGTCCACTTGACCTGATCCTGCAAACACTTATGCACATAAATAGCTTTACTCAATAAGCAATGTTTGCAGGACTGGGCCGTTGGCTTGCAAGTTCAGGTATCTGATCTAGAAGTAAAACAATAATGGGCACAATTCTCTTCTCAATTTTGCCAGTGTATATCAGTAATATTTTTTGCCATTATACTTGCATAAAGACAGTGAGAGGGGGAAAGAACACCCATAACTGCAGATGCAGTCCTTTTAAACGTGGTTCTTTTGGATGCAGACAAAATCTTTCAATATGTACATATTGAATCAAAAATGTTTTCTTGATTAAGAGGGCACTGATACATTGTTCACCCAATCCCATTCTAAACACCTGCTTAATGGTAATGCTGGTAAAGTCACTTAAACAGTTTTAATGATAAAGTCTAAAAGAATTTTCCAAATGATCTTTGGTCATAAGACAGAGGCGGCCAGATGTGGGTTACCTTCCATATCATTTTTTGTATCTGCACATTAAAAAGCCAAATAACATAATTCCATTAACATGCAAAATAGTAACTTCCATTTTAGCTACTGAAGATAAATACTCAGTCATACCAGATGGTAAGAAGGCTAATGTGGAACAACAATAACAAAATCTACGCACAGTCTCCTCTCCTCTAATATAAACTAGGCACTCAATTGTGAGAAATCCCAGTTGAGTCTTTACAGTTTGGTGACACTGCATAATAATGAACACTTGACATTGGAAAAGCTATTATCTAGTATTATAAAACTAGCACACTTGTCATTGACTTGAAAGACAACATATGTAAGTTCAGAAGACAAATCATATGATAGATAGATAGATAGATAGATAGATAGATAGATAGATAGATAGATAGATAGATAGATAGATAGATAGATAGATAGATAGATAGATAGATAGATAACAACCTTCTGGTCATGTTATGCTAACAGTTGTATATACTGTATATTGTCCTGTTTCCACATCTTTAATGCCAGTCTCATGCAGAGATATCAGCATCAAACAAAAGAGGCCATGCCTAAAAATCATAAATGTATTAACTATATGTGGTGTCTGAAAGCCCCATCTTTTATTCTTTGGCTTTTAATTTAGCCAGCTAACCCACAGAGTAAGTGGTTAACAAATATGTATGTGGTTAGAGATTTAATGCCATTAGATTTTAGCAATTGTAAAAAGTAGGTCTCCCTAGGCAAAGACTGAAGGGTCCTAAAAATAACCTACCATATAAGTTCTAAGCATTTATTATTAAGAATCAAATATTCTCCCTTGCTTTAGGAAAGCATGTGGTGATTCTGCACTATAAAAATGCTGGATGTTTTTTAAAACTCTTCAGCAGTATATCAGAAATTAAAATGTAGTTATTCCTACTCCCTGGGGGGTTGTACTACACAGTGAAGTCTGCATCACTTTTAAGCTACTTTACTAAATCCTGCTGCACATGTAAAATAAAAGAGAGGCTTTAAACAAATGTTACTTCTGTAAACTAGAGCAGTGACTGACTGTTCCACTATAATTAATGAACTGTTAGGGTTTCCAATAAAAGTGCTATTTATTTTATTCATTTAATTAGGGAGATTCTGCAGGTACTGTGCACATGATAAATCATGTTGAAAAAAGGGAAAAGAAGGGCACAGTCTAAAATTTCATCCAGTAGTTCAAGGGCAAAGAGAAAACAATCCAAAAGAAAAGAATTGCTGAAGAAAGAGAACTAAATGTATTAAAAATGCATTGTGCTGAAGGGGGAAAAATGCTTTGTACAGTGATTTGACTAGAGCAACAAAGGAATTCAGACAAACAGGAACAGATTTCCATAAATAGTTATAAAGAATAGAGAAGCTGTTGCCCCTAGCCCAATTCAGATGTTATCTCAAGATGGAAATCAAGGACAACTTATCAAACTCAACTATGTTAAAGAAACTTGAGTGAGAGATGGGAACTAAGTGGCTGAGACGAGGCCTTGATAAATTTCTTGACTGTTGTTGCTCCACGATCAGTTGCGCAGCAAATTCAATTTTCCAGAAATTACAACCCAACTTAAAATTTCCTCACTAAATCTGGGAAACCTCAGCTCAAGAGTTTCAAAATTAGTTGCTTAAAATTCTGCTAATAGTTAAAGCATAAAAGTAGGTACCTGTATGTTTCAAAAATGTTGAGTTCCAATTCAATTTAATGGGAGCAACTCAGAGCTCAACAATTATGAAAAAAAAAAAATCAAGCCCCTTCTTTTGGTGCCTAACAAAGAACATATAGGTCTAATTTCAGGCATCCAAATTGAAATTTTGGCCAAGCGCTTTTAAAATGTTGTTTCATGCAGTTTTACTTGACATTTAAAAAGATGAACATAACAGGGATGTTAGATATCAGGTAATTGAACAGTCGAGTAACCACATGGATTTTTATCGGTTACTGGACTATGATATAATCCCCAGGGGAGGGGACAGCAGCCTGTGCAATCCGCCCCAATCCCGGGGAGCCCCCAACTACCTCACGCTCTTACCTCTGTATTGCAGGCAGCAGCGCGGGGTGCCAGGTGGGAACTGGTCTGCGAGGGGAGCTAGTTTAAAAACCAGCTCCACGCACAGACCAGCTGCCTGCTGCCCCGCATTGCTGCCTCAGAGGCAGCAGTGTAGGGCAGCAGCAGCCCCTGTCTGCAGGGGTCCCGAGCTCCCGGTGGACAGAGGCTGCTCTACCTTCCACAGAGCAGCTTCTGTCTGCAGCGCGCCTAGGCCCGCCACAGACAGAGCGTAGTTCAGCAGCAGCAGGGATCCCTAGCAGACAGGAGCTGCTGCTGCTGTCAAAATAATGCAATATAATCACTAGAAAATAAAATCCTGTTTAAATGGTTAACCTTTTAAACATATTGTTTAACCAGTTAATTCACTAAAGGGAGAGCAGGTAGGGGACCACTCCAGCTGGGACACCAGACTAGCCCCCTACCTGAGGCAGTCCCCCATAGGGCTGGAGCAGCCTTCTGTCTGCCACAGGTGGGGAACTGCTCCAGCCATCACCTGTTAACCTTACCAAGTAAACCTCAGCCATTAAGAGAGAGGCTTACTGGTTAACCGGTTAAACATTCACATCCCTAATAATCACATCAGTTTCACTTATTTCGGTAATTTATTTAAACTACTATACAGAAAAAAAATCACAAAACAGTAGAGTCCCAATTATGCGACCTAAACGGGACCGATAGGTGCTCGGATTAATGAAAATGTCGGATAATATGGATTACCTGTAGTTGATTCGGGTGCTCCAGGTGAAGGGCAGCAGTACTTTGGGGATGTTCCGCTTGGAGGCCGCTGAGAAGGGCGGCAGCAGCAGAGGCAGCAGAAGCAGCGCCCGGAGTGACGGGGCAGCGGGCAGGGCCATTCTCCTAGCCCGTGTCCGGGGGCTGCAGGGAGGGAAGGGGCCAGGCAGGAACGGGGACCCTGGGAGGCAGGCGCAGGGATGGGGATGACCCCAGCTGCATCGTGACCAAGCGGAGCCGGCAGGAGGCTCTGACCCATGGGCTGGACTCTCAATGATCTGCAGCTGGGGCAGGGGAAATGGGCCCGGTCACATGGCAGGTCACATGGTGGGCGTCCGGCGGCAGCGTGGGGTTTTAATTTTGCTTTCAGGGGCTGCTGCTGGAACTTCTTCAGCCGGGGAGGCTGCATGCGGCATGGTAGCGCGGGGCAGCTGGCCTTGGGGGCTGCATACCGCTCTAGGCTGGCTGGGGATTTCTTGCAGAACTCCAGGGTTTATCCGGCTATGTCGGATAAAGTAGAACGTCGGACAAACGAAGGTTGGATAAGTGGGACTCTACTGTAACTATTCACCATTTCCTATAGACATGAAAGTTAAGTTACAAATACTTGGTAATCAAGACCCTGTATTTCATTGATCATCCTGGATTTTCATTTAATACACATTACTTTCATTTTGACTTGGTGCTTTGTAAAGTAAAATGTCACTTTAAATGACTCAGAATCCCACCCAAAAAAGTGATACAGTTTTGCTAATCATCGTCCTGCAGGTTTAAAAACAAAAAAACAAAAAAACATGGGTAAGTAAAATAGATCCTGAATTGTAATCTAACTATATTGTGCCTTTCTGACACAGGGGAAAGAAAAAAAAAAAAAAAGACAGAAAGCACATAGACTTTCCTAGCTAAGAAGTCAGTAATTTATAATAAGGCTCCTTTACACTACTCTGGCAAGGTAAAGAAGCCTTAATTGACTAAGAATGGGAACAATTAAACTTTAGCAGCTTGCCTTTTTAGCTGTCAAAATTTTTGCTATGCTCAAGGACAAAATCTATTTCACACAGCCCTATGCCTCCAAGCCCAGGATTCAACAACAGGGGTTGTGTCTAGACTACAAAGAGAAGTCAGGAAAAGATATGCAAATTGCAAACCATAATTTGCATATCTTTTTCCGCTTTTCTCCCAAAAGAGGCTTTTCCGTCATTTGGCCTGTCTACACTGTCAGAAAAAAATCCCACTTCCTCATAGAACGAGGTTTACAGGGATGCAAAAACTCTGCAGCCTAGTTGTATCCAGGGAGGAGAGGAAAAGAATGAGAGCTTGTCCTACTACTGGCTGGATAGATGCTGCAGCGATTGATCCACTAAGGGACAAATTAGCAAGTCTAGTGAAGAACTGTTAAATTCACTACCGATTGTTTGGACATTGACTCTGTTATTCACCATAACAAGATGAAGTAAGGGGATCCAGGGTGTTGTGAACCCCTTTGTAAGTAGATCTACAGCGACTTGAGTCACACTACTATCCAAACTCAAATTGCATAGCTTAGATAGGCTTTTCCCTATAGTGTGGGCCTACCCTGAGTGTCTCTGACTCAATTGCATGCAGACAGGTGCCCAACCCCACCTACTTAACATCTCTGCATGAATGCACACATGCAGGTCCTGCCTTCCTCCTCCTCTCTGAGATGATTTGCTGTGGAATGGGTGTGTTTTCCCCTCAGATTCTTGGCTGTCCTGCAGAAAAATGGAGGAGCCAAGAAATCTGCAGAAGGTATGAATTCTGCATTCCATGCAGGGAACAGAATTCCCCTAGAACTGAAAGTGAAAACAAGTCATACATCCTCTGATACTTAATTTATAATGATATGCACTAATAAATCATTAGACTGGTGTCCCATTGTGCCTTTTACTGGAAAACATTAAAGTGCAATTTAATCATAGTTTTCCTATTACCATCTTACTGTTTTAATGCATTCTTTCAATTTTTAAAAAGGAATCATATCAGTAGTGCATATAACAGTTACTGAAAATTTTAATCTGAAAGCTACCTCACAATTTCAAGGAAGGTAAAAAAGTTAGCATTAATCCAGATGGCTCCAGGATCTTGCTAACTCACATCTGCACATAAGACGCTGTAGTTGAAGTCTAACTTTTAACAAATCCAGAAAATGACACAAAAACATGGCATATTTATCCATAACTGCCTGGAAAAGATTAAATTAATAACAGTAAGCAGAAGGTTTAATACCTGAAGTGTCCCAGCCTTAGCAAACTCTGGTCCAAGAACTTGGTATCCCTTATAATTAATGTCTCAGTGTGATGTACAACACACATTCTAGGGCAACCTTAAGCTCCTTCATTGTATGAACCCTGTGGGTTTGTTGGATTAACAAGACTAATTAAAACTAATCAATTTTGTTTTGTGGTACCTAATAAAGACAAAAATCTCAAGTATTATAGAAATATTATTTTTAACTATTTCACAAAAATACCTTTGGACACTATAACAAAGCACCAATCTTCAAAACACTTGTACAAGAGAAGTACAGTGAAAAAAAATCCGTGACACTGCCAATGAGTATAAAATTACTCATGTATATAAGTACTTGCAGGATCAGGACCTATATACTTATGTTGGTAAATTAGACTCTTTCACTTAGAGGAGTATCTTGGACACTAGAAATTTGTAAAATGACACTATTTAATTTAAAAAACACTAATAATAAAAAACATAAACAAGGCCAATATAAATATTTCCATTAAAATCAATGAAAACA